TAACTCTCCCAATTCAGTAACTATGCGTCATCCTTCCCTCCAGTTCCCCAATTCACATCAAGGAAAGTTTACTTCGAAATGATGTCGCTTTTTACGACGGTCCATGGTCCTCCTGTTCTAGAAAGCTGCATACTGTACGACATACTGCAGCTCCATCCCCTAGCGTTTGGATTTTGAACTATGCGAGGTAGACAGGCATGATTGAGATTATTTGAGAACTGTGCTGTAAGACTTTTCATTGTTACTCGTCGTGGACGGAGCATAGTGACCGGTACGTCTTGATCGAAAATTTGCAAGAAGCGCCAACTTGTGTGAGTATGTGGCTGCTTCAGAACTACGGTCAGTCTGATCTAGCAACGATTCTAGTAATTCTCGCCGAAGAAGTCTATTCTGATCAGCCCCTTAAAATTTAACTAGAAGTTGGTTCTCTATGAAGTGTCAATTTCTGGTCTTGAAAAAATTTTGCAACTGAGTGTCAGTGACCCGCTGAAGTTTACTGGTAAAGAAAGTAAAACAACAATTACCAATTATAAGAGGAAACACTGTTCAACAACGAAATAAATAAATTACAGGGGAAAAGCTCTACGAGAAAAAGAATGGTAAAGGATCCAAATGAAACTTCTTTTCCACTCGTTGACTCACTGTTATGACCTCAACAACAACGAAATGTCTTACTGTTGGTGTATTAGCGAGGCCAAGTGACTACTTAGCAGCGAGTTATGGGTTTTAGGCAGTTCAAAATTTTAATGATTTTGGTTCTAGCATTTCGTACTTCTAGCATATAGTGTGAAGGCAAGCATCAACGAGCAGAATGGAAGTTCAGATCATAAATTTGGCAGCAGCATCATTTACCATACAAGTAGACTTTTATTCGATAAGCTTCTTCGCTTTGAAATACCTACGCAAGTACAGCACCTGCCAAGTCGCTAACCCCAAAAGGCAGAGCATTGAAAATATACTGAGGTAGAGCACTCGACTGTTCGTAGATTCTGAAAACAAGTTGTGTTCTAATTCAATTTCAAAACCGTTTGAATTCACAAATTTCAGGCCCCCTAAAATGAGTTAAACGAGTAGTTCCATGATAATTTCAAGTCTTTTTTACTATGTATTAATTAATTATTACCATTCGTATTCCTCATCTCTTTTTCTCTTTCCCGCATATACGCGAAATCTTGAACAATTGAGTCTGATAAGTCTTCAAGACTGAAAGTCACAGTTGTTACTGCTAAGAAATTATCGAGGATTTTTAAAATAAAACCCTAATGAGGATTCGGATAAACAAACCGTCTCAGTTCAACTTCAAGCGGTTTCAGCTGGTCAGCTTTTGCTAAATCTTCATAGTTCTTAGCTTCTACACCATGTTTCATGTGAAGCATAAATTCACGGTTGGCACCATGCGGCTGACCTTTAAACACAAGCTTAAATTAGGTCAGACCAAAAGTGACGTATAACGCCATCACTTATTTTCGGTAAAGGAGAAAATGAAAGAAGAAATAAAAAAACAGCAATAAATCCACAAATGCTCAGTATTTATTGATTAAAGAATAGAGCCACCTCCTGGAGTATGAGACGTGATACAAATCTCAAAAATGTCATATTCGTCAGCCCTGAACGCAAATTTACCCTTCGTTTCGACAAAACGTTCACGACTATGTAACGTATGATGTCTTGTGTCAGTTACCTAGAAATTAATAGCTATTAGAATGGAACAGGCTTGTTATCCGAAAAAAGCATCCTCTAGCATCTTACTCATAATTAAATATTTCATTTTAGAAAAATTATTAACGAAAAGCAAATTTTTTTTTCAAATCAGATCGGAGTAAACAATTCGACATTTGGTTAAAATGTTTCCTCAAGATAGTTTCCAATGCCCTCTGAATATAAAGCCAAATCCAAGCCTTTAATGAGTCTCTCGTAAGTAATTTTGACTCAAAAAGACGTGAGTGAATTATGAAATCTAATTAAGGTTATAAACATTGCCAAATGAAATGAAGAACTTCACTAGTATACTGCAAGTCATTCCTGGTGCTTCGCTGAGCTCATATTCGCCAGTTACTACAACATCTTTATGTAACTCTTCCTTCAAACACTTCTTTCCATTTGGAGGAATGTAGAAGCGGATTGCTGAGACATAGTTCACAAGACAAAAAACAGCTAATACTTTTAATACTACCATGCCTAAAAAAAATAAGTTGACAGTACAAAAAACTAATTTTATCATTATCAAAAATGTTCTCGAACAGATTTTTGAATTTCAAATAATTTAATTTGCAACAGTCAACAATGAGAGCATCTACATCATCTGTGCGATAAAATATACAAAATTTATTTTAGTGAGAATAAAAAGCAGTATCTAACAACAACAATTCTCTATAACAACAACTTAGCTTCCCTTAGAAGCAATTTTTTTAATTTGATATTATCTCTAATCAATTAACGCCTCAGAAAACAGCCAAATAAAATAAAGGATGCCGAAAGCGCACAAGCTAATACAACAGAAAAACTTGAAAAATGTGCAAACAGTTGCAAAGTTTGGCAACCTTTTGAAGAACCCCTGCAATCACTCATAGGACAAGCAGAAATATACTAAATTTTGCATCGGATGGCCAACAAGCAAGACCCAATATAGCTAGAAAGCAAAAAACGAGAAATTACCATGCCTGACTGTAAATGGGTCATCAAAAGAAAATCATGATGTAACAGCTTTCAGGTAAGCGGTGATGCCCAAAGAAAAACTATATAAGGCAGCTTAAAACGCATGACAGCCCCCATCAGCCATACCATCCTAACAACCGAAAGTGACCAGATACAAGAAAAATATCAAAAAAGAAAAATTGATTATCACTAACAGTTACCAAGTGTATGCATATGATTTGTAATCAGCGATTCGCTTTAAAATACTAAAAAGCTGCGGTAAAGATTCCGTATCAAAGAGACTGAAAATAACACTGACAAGTATAAAAAAATAAGACATAAAACACCAGAACGGTTTATAAAAGCGATAGTATAATACTGAGACACCAACCACAAAGCTTCCTCCTGTATGGCTTCCAGTCCTATAAATGTAATATTGTTAAGTTGCAGGGGTAACTTCTTTCCGTTCCAAGCAAAAAAAACCCTTTTCTAGTTTTTCAGGATGAGACATTCTAATCTATGTCACGGAATCAACTTATACAGTTCAAATGGAAACGTCATCGACAATAGTGACTTGATCATTAATAATACCTGATCACCGCTCCTAATATCCTGCAGTACCTCCAACCCTGATATTTTTCAGTAAAATAGCTTTAACTTTCCCTGCACGATTTTACAGACTGCAAGTAACAAACAAATAAACATCTAACTTATTAACAGATAGTAATTGGTGGTTAAGTCAATGACAGTTGTATGATATTCTAAAAATAAAAATAAATAAATGAAACAAGAAATAAAAAAACTTTCTGGAATTGCTACCAAGAAAAACACTTTATAAAAAGTAACAGAAAAAAGAACAGTCGAAGGAATATGTCAACGACTGAAATAAGCCTTATCAGTTCTTACAAGAAAACCACAATTGAAAAGGGCGCCTCACCACTCTAATTTACCTAGATATACTGGAGTCTTGCCAACCTTCTGAAGTCATTCAAGTAAATTTCTTTAAGAATCGCTACTGTTCTTTAATGTTCCACCCACTTTTGATGACAGAACGAGTAGTTCATGGAACAATACGAAACGGACTAAATTTACGCAAGAACCAAGTCGAATATTACTGTTAAAAAGTAACAATGAACAAAAGCAATATCCAAAAAATAATAATGTAAAGTTGATGACTGCGCTTCAGTTGAACTGCTGATGAGCTCAGGCTGAATTTACTGAATGGTAACTAACGGGACAACGGCAGCAGCAACAACAGCAATAACACAGCTTACTGAACACGTCACTACGGGAAATTTGCCAAATGACGATAGTTTTGGAGTCTTATACATCCCCATACGAACGGTTGATGGCCGAAACTGCTGATGCGGGTCATTTCATGGTGCTCACTGTTTTTTTTTTTTTTTTCTTCGTCATTTCCTTTTTTTCCTGATTTTGCTGTATTCGGTACTTGCAGTAATAGAACAACAACTGGGGGCTGAACAACAGAATCGGAAAATTTGAATAGACAACTACTGCCTTACTACGGCACCAATATTTTACAAACGTCTAAGTGCAGTCGAATTTATTTGTAACAGCTTATCGTTTTCGGAGCACCAATAAAACACTTCATCTAACTTAATTACCTTTTTTTGTTTAGTTTTATCTAACTTGACTTATTTAGGAATTCTCCAGGTGAAAAAGTAAATAAACAAGTGAAAAGACGGGCCAGCTACTGATTTTAAGCGAACCTAAGCCGAAATAGAACATTTTTTTTCCATCCAGATAAATGATTTGTATAAAGACCATTTCTAATCCCGTTTAATCATTTATTTATGTTCGAATTAAAGTAGTAAAGGTAGTTATTCTGATATTCTGACTGGTAATATGGATGTTCTGTTTATGCACTAATAGCAGTTATACGTAGTGCACACAGATAATGAACCTCTTCATGTCACTTTTCACCTGATACTTTCACCTTTTTTTCAATTATAGTAATATACCATTAGAATGGTGGATCCAGTTAATTCTACACTACATACGACCATTGACATCGGAGATATACCGGCATCTAGCAAAGAGGCTATTGATCTTCAGTTTTATGAACCAGCTTACACTGAAACGCCAAGCGCCACCACAGCTGGTAACAAGTATTTCAGCTTGAACGAACTTCTACCAGTTTGGCTTGAACTTTATCAACGCATCTGTTCAAAATTAATTCATTTAATTTTATTCTTGTAATTTCCGACTTTTTTTTTTGTCAAAAGGAAGAAAGAAGAATTGTTACAGCTAAAGTATTGACAACTTTTACTTTTTTGTTTTGTCGACAACGGCGACATTGAATTTCAGACTCGCTAGGCAGGCCAGTTTTTGAGGATAAGCCCAAGCGATATCGTAAGCTAAGTCACGGAGGCAATGCAGCCAACTTTTTGGAAAATCATGGTTTTGGGTGGTTGCTGGAAATTGATGAGGATGAAGATGAGCAGAAACCATTACTGTTCGTCATTTTTAATTTGGTTTTTTTCTGTTAGCTGTTTAAAAGAGATAGCTTTTTTGATACAAATAATTCTTTTTTCTGAAGTGCAGGACTTTAAGATTTGCAGATCACTCTAATAATTTTCTTTTTTTTTTGCAGAATGGTTTATATTTGGTATAAAAAAAGAGGGTGGCGAGTTTTTAGTTGAAAATGCAGACGCTCTTGGTGAATGGTACATAGATAACATCATTTGTTGTAATCTTATTTTTCTTTTTTTTTTTTTCCGTTGCAGAGAAGAGTTGGATATTGATTTCAAAGAAATATATTATAAGGTTAGATGTGTTTTATTGCCGTTGCCGTATTTTCGTTTAAAACTGAGTATTGTGCGGGAATCTCCTGACTTTTGGGGCCCATTGCTTGTGGTTTTAACATATGGATTGCTCTCGTTGTATGGACAATTAAGTGTTGGTTACTTCTCTTTCTCTTCAAAATTTTATGCAAGTTTACTGCTTTAGAATAAAATTTGAAACCTTGGAAACATCTTGTAATACTCATTTTAATAGGTTCTTAGGCAAGAGTTAGGAATTCAGTTTCATGAACTTAAGCGGATGGTAATCAAAAGTTATAATTTGAAGGTTTTATCATGGATCTTGACTATGTGGTTCAGTGGGTCATTTTTTATTTTTTTCTTGGCTCGTGTTCTGGGTGGCGATGTTAGTTACAGTCAAGTGCTTGGCGTTGTTGGATATTGTTTGATGCCAATCGTTGCTGTCGGCTTGTTTATACCGTTATTTGCGAAGTAAGTCTATTTTAACTTTATCTTTCTGTGACTGGTTAAGTACTTTTCCTTTTTAAAAGTAGTTTAAAGAATAATTTTTTCACGTGCGTTTTAGAGTTTTCCGAAGCTTTTTAGATTTAAGTCAGGACTTCCTGTTGCTTTATTTAAAAGTTCAAACGTTCAAGAATTTTTTTCTTCTGGTAGCAGTAACTTTTTTAAACTTAGATGCTAGTCCATTTTTTCAAAAAAGTTTCTTCACTGTACATAATAAAATCGTTCTGACATCGTTTGGCGAGAATTCTTGCTGCATATTGGTGGCTTCGTTCTTCTTTGTTGATATTTTTTATTTTGTTGCTCAACATTATGAAATTATTCAAAATTTCTAAACAAAAAGAAAAAAACAAAAAAGAAAGTTCTGAGATGATTAAAAGTGTTTTTTCTTTTCGTTTCTACCTTTTTGTATGATGTTTAATTGAGGCATTACGGGATTTACTTTTAGCTGCAGCCTTTTGATAGTTTTTTTTCGATTGAATGGAGTCTTCTTGCAGATTGCGCTTTTTCAAATTCTTATTGTCATGCTTCGGCGTTGTTTGGTCCGTTTATAGTGCAGGAGCTTTGCTGTGTGTAGAGGAGTTACAGGAAAAGCGGAGTTTGCTGCTGTATCCTGTTTTACTTCTTTATATATATTTCCTTTCGCTTTATACAGGTGTTTGACTACTTGAAAATTTTCTATTTATTTGGACTGGTAATTTTGGCTGTTATAAGTCAATTTTGATAAGAATGTCATTTACCTGAAACTTATAATGGAATCCATATTGCTTATAATAGCTTTGCTGGTCGTTTAGTGTACATAGTGCTTTAGCGAAGGAAGCATAATTGCTCATAAAAAGTTTTGATGCGGGAAACTGACGACTTTTTGGGTTGCTTTGTTAGTGACGTGACGTTGGAGTGTTCATTTGGGTTGAAGTTCATTTCTGTCCTTTTATCTGTGGCACATTGTTTGAGATGTACCAGTTATTCCTATTTCATTAGCTTCTCAGGGCGGAAGCGAGTCGCAATTGATGAACGCCTGTTAAATGTGTGTAAGTCCTAGTTGTTCCTTGGACTTAAGTGGTAATAAATGTTACTTCCTAAGACTCTCAGACATAAGCCGAGTTGTCCAGCCATTGAAATCGTCTTAACGTTATGATGTTTTATTCGGCACTTAGGACGGTTTAAACTTCTTTGAAATATTTTATTACTTTTCAACACCATTCCGTCACTGAGAATTTCTCACGGATTAGGATACAGGGGTTGGGGTTCAAAGTAAGAAAATAACAGTTTATTTTCTGATTAATTTCAACGGTAGCGTGCTTCATTGACACCTCATAGGAATATATGTGCACATTTAGATGTTTTACATCGGAAAATAAACCTTTTTTCCAGGTTTAGTAACGTACTATAACAAATAAGTGATTACTAGGTAGAACAATACTGATCACAGAATACAGCACCTCCGTCGCTGTTTAGATTCGTCTCTCTGAACTGGGTCTGGAACTACCGTCCCATCATCCGTCGCCTGTAAAAACGGTTCGCTTCAATTACTTGTCTACTTGTAGTCTCTCTCAAAATTATGACGGCTATTAAAACACTATTTTCTGAGCATTTAGACATCCGGAATAAATCAAAGTGTAAAATTACCTCTGTAGTAGGCGTCTTTCCTGCAGTGTCTGCTTGTTTCTGTTCCTCGTGTAATTTCTCTGTGGGTCCCGTTGACTGTTCGGCCGGAACTGATTTGCTCTTCTGGATTTCATGTTCCGGCTTTGCCGTCTCACCAGAAAGTTCTGGATGGTCTACTTTTTCCTTGACACTATGTTGCTCGGTGATAGGGGCTTGCGATTCTTTCGTTGCTTCACTGGCGACAGGAGCGGCAGTCGATTTATCGGCAGCAGGAACAGCAGTTGGTTTGTCGGTAGCGGGAACGTGTAAGTCTTTTGCTTCTAAATCTTTTTCAACATCTTTAGAACAAACTTCTCGTTGACAACATTCTTCGTTTGCCACAGTTGCCCTTTCATTTGACATGATGTCTACTACTGGTTGCTTTTCATGAGGTTTTGCAGCTGGAATAGAAACCTGTATGTCAACTGCTTCAGGATGATGTTCTTTCTGGCTTATTTCTGGTGTTTCAGTAGCCGAAGTTGTTTCTGAGGCTTCAAAATGACTAACAGGTTGAACATGATCATGCGGTTTTGTTTTCTCTGTTTCTTCAGTTTTCGTACTCATAGAGGTATTAACACTGAATTCCTGAATCAGTTCATGAGCGGCAGGAACACGCTTCTGTTCTTTCTTTTCCAGCAGCACCTCTGTATTTAAACCAGCAGTTGGCACCGTCTCTTCGGGCTCTGCTTTTTCAGAATTGGTTAGTCCAGCTCTTAAAGCTTCAAAGCTGGTTTTTGTAACCTCTTCGGAAACAATATTTGCAGAATTGTCAACGATTTGGGTGTCCGGAACGTGTTGGGAGGCAGACACCTCCGCTGCTCCAGCAACTTCCAAATTATCTGTTTCTGTGACATGGTGAACTGTATCTGAAATCTTGTTTCCACTTTTAGCTTCTGCAGTTTCTTCCTCCTCTGCGCTCTCGACCGGCAGTGGAGATTCCGTAGCAGTAGTAGGTGCCGAAATTGGAACCACCTCTTCCGTTAAAACGACGGGTTTCGATGCCACTTCATCTTTCGTTTCATGTATTGCTTCCTTTGAACTTTCTTCTTCTTTGGTTTCCCTGGGTAACTCCGTGAAGTGTTTTACATCGATGTTCTCAGAGAGCAATTTTGGTTTTTCACTGGGCTCTGATATTTCAATCCCACGATGCTTTAGAGGCACACTAAAGGTTTCCTCCTCTTCTTCTTCCTCTTCTTCCTCCTCTTCTTCTTCCTTCCCCCCTTTCCCTAAAACATTTTCTTGTTCCTCTTGAATGTGCAAGGGAGCAAAATCTTCCTTTTGAATATTTTCTTTAACCAGTTCAGCGGCACTGGGTGTATCTAATCTTGTGGTAGTTTCCATCATTGAGTCAAAATGAGCTTCCTTTGAATGTGGTTTTTCTTGTACAGTGGCAAAGAACGAATCGGTGTTTTCCTTGGTTGATAGTTCAGAACTACCCACTGCATCATGCATTTGAGCAGTTTCTTTATGTCCGTCTGTTGGTTCAGTCTCAATCAGTTTTGTTACTTCCGTCTTCACTGCCGTTAGCGGCACCTCACTAACGTCTTTTGCAAACATGGAATCTTTGCTATTTTCTTCGCTAGACAGATTGGATTTGAAATTGTCGGAAACTTTTGTTGCAGCTTCTTTAACAGATTTTTCATGATGTGGCTCTTGTTCAGGAACAGCCTTAACACTTGGTTTTAGTTCTTTTTCCGAAAAAACCTCACTTTCTTCTTTGTCCACGGGTTGCGCAACCTCTTTTTTACTGTTGTCGTCGATATGATAGTCTTGCTTTTCCGCTTTAGGTTCCAATAGTGAATGGTCATGTTCCTGTTTACTTTCAGTGGGTTTCTCATGATGAATGTCGGAAACATAATGAGGCACGGTTTCATCGTGTGATGCGTCAACCCCAGCATCCAGAATTCCATGTTTGACTTCATTCTAAAATAAGTAAATCTTTTAGTTCTATAGTCCATATAACATTGCACAACAACAATCATATCAGGCCCATCATTAACTTCGACATGACATATGTGCAGTCACAAGATTTGCATCTACTGTAAGACTAAATGACAAAAGTCATTGTCTACGTTGTTCTCTACTTAAAACAGACGGGAAGCCAGTTCTTCACAGGACAATAACTAGTGCTCCTAGGAATTAAAATTCTTTCGTTCAAGGTATAACAGTAATAATATTTGTCACAATTAGTCCTGGTGTTAGGTGACTTTTATTTGAATGGTAAGGTACGGATTTTTTTTTTGTTTCAAACTATAAAACGGTACCAAATTTGTGCAGGTTACACACTACTCTGTCAGTGAAATATCAGTGGTGTACTAATGATGCATATCTTTGCTGGTGTTAACATTGGTTGCAGTCTATTATTATAGTACCGTTACATTAGATATTTTACTATTCACTTAATTCTACAGTTTGGCAGACATTCCAGCTTTATATGGAGCGGATTAGTTGCATAGAATATAGCTTCTGCTTTAACTAATATTCTAGGTTTTAACCTTCTTTTCTCCTTTTGAAATAAAAAATCAATGAATCTCTTAGTTCTGATGACCACGGATGGTCGCCGTTGCGCTAGGTAAATAATACACTACATGTTTGGCCACACAGATTTGGGATAATGCAGCAAGTTTAAAATTATTTGTTTGTTAAATCAAATTACGACAGTTGTGCTTCTGCAGTTATCTTGCAGCGTTGGTTGACATAAAAAACACGCCACTCCATGCTGAACAGAAAAAAAGGAAGGAACATTTACACGCAACATAGAATTCTTATTTCTGCAAACCACACAAATCATCCATACCAATAGTGTTGACGAAAACTCGGCTGGAGTTTCACTATATGATGAGAAGTTGAATCCGTCCTTCAGAGTCACGTTACTGCTTACGGTACAAGCTGCTTCATCATTTGGATGCCGTTCATATCCTTCATCTTCCAAAGTAGTTTCTTTCAATCCGTTACCGCAAACCAGAGGAACATCGTACTCCTGAGAATCCTTAGTTTCTTTGAAAGAATTTTGCATGGAATTCAATAACATTTCGCGTTCTGATAAACTCTTTTCAAAGTCATCGCTGGTTTGAACGCTTGGCCTGTTATTACTCAAAACGCTACTAGTTTTCTCATTGACTAAATTCGAGCTGTCCTGACATAGCACCTCCCTTAGCGGTAATGGCACTAATTGCTCTTCGTAGTTTCGAAGCCAACTGCTGTAATCATGGATATCAGTTATTTGTCCCATGCTCATTCTGTCCATAAAAACAGTTGCTGCATAGGCTAAACTTTCTTTCTTTGAAGGAGGGGATGACGGTTCAGACTCTTCATCTTCAAAACTTATCGGTATAACAGTTTCAGAAGTCCCCTCATTCGCTTCTGATCCCAAATTTTCTGACACAACTTCTATCGGTATACTGATTTCCTCACTGTCTTTTTCACTTTCTTCGAAATGTACTGGTATAATTGTCCCAGAAGACGCGGAACCTGTCTCTTCCGCAACTACAGTTACTGGAATCTCAAACTCTTCGTCTTCCAATCCCATATTTTCAGTCGTAATTTCTGCCGTTTTTTCTGTACTCTCTTGACTGTTGCTACCAGTTGGAGGAAGCAGTTCTTCTTTCTTCATGAAAAAACCCCCATCCTGATATTGGTGTGACTCTAGATTTGAGTTGGCAGGAACCGTTAAGTCAAACGTTTCTTTATTTGTTGCAGAATTGCTGCAAACCTGGTTACTCTCACTCAAATTTTCTGCCACACTGTTCCTCTCAGTAACAACCTCAGTCTGCCTAGGCTGATGATCTAATTCAGACGTTAAATGCCGAAGATTACTTTCTGTACTTACCAGAGGTTCCTGAGCTTTCTTCGGTACAGTTTCTTCCAGAACATCGGTTGTTTTCTCACTTATTTCTCGTATTTCATCCTGTAATTTTTCCTTTTACCTTTTCTATAAAACCAAAATAGAAGAACTGAGTTGATAAACAGATTTGATAAACTCTCGTAGCAAATTTGTTAATAAGGTGTATCAAAGGCAAGTTGACATTTATTGTCCATTCTATACTAGGTTAAAGGTTCATAGGAATGTGCTGTACATAGCAGTTTGAACTTATTGGACGAAACTTCAAAAAACTGAAGCGGTTTTCAAATTCCAAGGTCCTCAAGTTTTATGCTTAGCTTTTATGCCTTGAAAAAAATTTACTTTTATCAAATGCTCGTCGTCCAGAATAGGATTTTCAGTATTAACAGTGCTGCTTATACCAGTGATCGCAGCATTTGTGACTTTATTGTCCTAAAAATGAAACTTCAAAATTGTTGGTAGCTAGATTTCAAACGGTTTTATTTCTAAATCAAATTTGGAAATTTGACTGACTAAGACTAAATGACATTCATTGCGATCACTTATAGCTGTTGAAAACAAACTCTTATTCGAACAGTTTTAAGTTTAGGCTTTCACAGGTGCCCCTCTTTAGTTTTAAGGAAAAAGTATTGAACACGTCTTATACAGCAATAATAAATTGTGAAATCTACCTTAAATTATAGTCAAAAGTAACTTTTTAACATGGATAAGAATAGTAAAGATGCAAGTATCT